AAAAGCCATTATAAACGAGGCATTTGTTGCATCCTCAATATTGCTGCATAAGAGTCAGAACATATTACTACGGTAACACTTTATTTTAAGGTCTCCTAACTTATTAGCATGCATATTACTAGAATATTAGCCATTTATTAGTACTAATTAAGCACATATTAATGCATTATTCTACATGACCTTATTCTAAACTACCTTACTAACTATTAATCAGCAAATTAGGAATTGAGGGAAAAGTCGTAGTTAATAGTGAATGTGTTCCCTATTCTAAAGTGTTACCATTACTACTAAGCCATTCAGCCCAAAATTACAGACATATGATTTTTCTGACTCTATCACCCAGCCCTACCGTATGACATGCTTTAAATGCTGAATTTTCCAATTTTTAGCCAAGCAGTAATGATACATTATTATATCACTTGTTAAATGGTTATTTAACAATTACAATCCCTGGCAAACACAAAACAATTTTTGTTTAATAATTCAACATTCTGGTTATGTTAAACATACCTCAAACAAATATTATTAAACTCCTTTAATTAATGAAAATTTGTTTTCCATATCAAGTAAAGTAGTAATAATTTTAATTTCATAAAAATTATGAAATCATTCAATGTTGAGGAAAAAAATATGGAATCATCCACCAAAACACACAGTTAGTACTTTGTTACTCCTCTGGCTTTTATGACGGCCTGAATTCTTTGGTATGAAACGATATTCCAGCCAATTTTCAAAAAGAATTGCAAATTGTATTTTCAATTGCGTTTTCCATATGTGGACGCATAAATTGTGACAATCCAAATGCAATTGCAAATTTTGCATTACCGTTTGCGTTTTTTGCGCACAGTGACTGCCAAATTTCAAATGAAAAAGCAAAATCGATTTGCAACAGTATTTCCCATGTCTTACGAGTTATGAGCCTGTCATATTTAAATAGCAATATTAATTACATTTGCTTTTTCACTTTCTCTGTGCCACGCATGTAATCTGCCAAAACTCAAATGGAATCAATTTTCAAATTTGAAATGTCCTATGTCTACATGGAAAGCTGTCAATCATTGTCAGGGGTGGGACTATGTGAACTAGGTGCCTGTGTGAACGAACAGCCAATGCAATTCTACACTTATTAAAGGAACACTCCACTATTTTTGAAAATAGGCTCATTTTCCAACTCCCCTAAGAGTTAAACAGTTGAGTTTTACCATTTTCGAATCCATTCAGCCAATCTCCGGGTCTGGCGGTAGCACTTTTAGCTGCAGCTTAGCATAGCTCATTGAATCGGATTAGACCGTTAGCATCTCGGTCAAAAATGACCAAAGCGTTTCGATATTTTTCCTATTTAAAACTTGACTCTTCTGTAGTTACATCGTGTACTAAGACCGACGGAAAATGAAAAGTTGCGATTTTCTAGGTCGATATGGCTAGGAACTATACTCTCATTCCAGCGTAATAATCAAGGAACTTTGCTGCCATACCATGGGTGCAGCAGGCGCAATGATATTACGCAGCGCCTGAAAATAGTCCCCAGCTAGGAAATATAAGGAGATGCTAACGGTCTAATCAGATTCAATGATCTATGCTAAGCTACAGCTAAAAGTGCTACCGCCAGACCCGGAGATCGGCTGAATGGATTCGAAAACGGTAAAACTCAACTGTTTAACTCTAGGGGAGTTGGAAAATGAGCCTATTTTCAAAAATAGTGGAGTGTTCCTTTAACATACATTTTATTCCTTTCTTTTAATCCATAATAGAGAGCGCGTCGCGCCTGCCTCAAGATATTTTACTGTTTGCACTCTGATTGATGCACGCATTTATTTATATATTTATTGTTAGTGAAAAGAAAACATGAAGAAAATATTTACATATCTAAATGCAACTCCCAGCAGGATGGGTGGACTGCTAAGGTATTTTCAACTTCTTTTTACCCATAAGAAAAGAATGAAAAGAACTGAGTAAATCACGATCTTGAGGGTTGGTGAAACAATTCACTCCAGTGTGAACTCTGTCAAGTCACCTTTATTCTATAAAACTTTACACAATATGGATTGCATCAAAGCAGCTTCACAGAGATAAACAATGAAATAACTGAATTAATCATGGAAACTCTACAGTATGAAGACAATTTAGATTATGTTGTAAAGCCACTCAAAAAAGCCAATATTGTCATTATTTAGTTTAAGTCAGTTCAGCTCAATAACATTCTAACATTCTGTATGCTGGAGTTTTAAATGTAGAAGTGCTGAAACATTTCAAATGTTGAAACAATTCTACACTGTACGCAGGTAACTGAGCTCTCTCCAGTGTGAATTCCCATGTGCCTGTTAAGGATTTGAGTTTAACTTATTACACACTGTAAGGCTTTTCTCCCATGTGGATTCTCATGTGGAGTTTAAGGTTTCCATTGTGAGCAAAACTGTCTCCACACTGTTGGCATGTAAAAGGTTTTTCTCCAGTGTGAGTTCTCACGTGCCCGTTAAGACTTCCTATATGAGTGAAACTCTTTCCACACTGTTGGCAGATGAAGGTACTCTTTCTAGTGTGTATTCTAATGTGGGCTTTAAGGTTTCCTCGTTGATTGAAACATTTTCCACACTGAGGGCATGCAAAACGCTTTTCTTCAGTGTGAATTCTTAAGTGACTCTCAAGAATGGATTTACAAGCGAAACATTTTCCACAATGTTGACAAGTAAAAGGGCTCTCCCCAGTATGAAATTTCATGTGGATTTCAAGGTGTCCATGTTGAGCAAAACTCACACCACACTGTTGGCATGCGTAAGGCTTCTCTTCAGTGTGAGACCTCACATGCCTTTTGAAGTTTTCTTTTAGAGTGAAACATTTTCCACACTGAAGGCATATGAAAGGCTTTTCTCCCGTGTGAATCTTTATGTGCCTTTCAAGACTTACTTTATGAGAGAAACTCTCCCCAGTTTGATCTTTAGGGGTTCCCTGTTGAGCGAAACTTCTAGTTCCTGTCTTTTGAAGATTCTCATATTGATCTTCTTTTTCAGTTTCATTGAGTACTTCTTTCTCCGCTTTCAGTGCCATTAGGTCTAATGCGAAAAAACAAACAAAAATAAAAACTCAGTTTAATGGCACAAGATAAGACGTCAAAACATTTAGATATAATGCATGAAAACCAACATGTATACTAGACCCTATACCAGGGGTGTGCAAACCTGCTCTGGAGGGCGGTGTCTTACAGAGTTTAGCTCCAACTTGCCCCAATACACCAGCCAGAAGTTTCTGAAGTTCTCATCTCTGGCCCTTAAAACTAGGGCTGCACAATAAATCGAAATGGAATCGCGATCGGGATTCGACAGAGCCTGCGATTGTCATGCGTATCTTTGAGTGAAGCACGGTTCTGTGATCAGCAGTAAATCTCCATCCAAAGGCCAGAGGGCGCTCTCGCGCTGAAACTCCAAATACACCTAGTAGAAAAAACCCAGAAAATGCCTATCGCTGCAGCTGAATAAACAGAAGATTCAACTGCTTTCATTGATTCAACGTGACTAATAAACACACGACTACGGCAATATACGGTTTATCTGAGTCCTTATTATTATAATTTTCATTAAAATAAAGTATATTTATAATGCAAGGCCTTTATCACTGCTTAAATACTATGAAATATGTGCCTTATTCTGTGTAAGAAGCCACATCATCTCACAGAAGGATTTATTTCAAACACTCGACTAACGTTATGAAGTGAGTTTGGAGTAAAAATATGTTATTAAATGTGGTATTTTCACATGCTTTCAGATGGAGCAGCATTTACTTCACAGAGCCGTAGTTCACTGAGAAGCTATGCAAACAACTGTCATTATCGCGAATGATTTCTTCGATTTCATAATCGCGCAATAAAATCGTCTGCGATTCTTTGCGTAACTTGTCAGTGAACTACGGCTATGTGTAGTAAATTCTGCTCCATCTGAAAGCACGTGATGATGATTTACTGCTGATTACAAAACCGGCATTACTATCAAAATGCACATGACAATCGCATTCGATTAATCGTGCAGCCCTACTTAAAACCCCCTTTTCTACAGAGTTTAGCTCCAACCCAAAATCAAACACATATGTACATGCTAATCAAGGTCTTCTTAATTACTAGAAAGCTAAAGGCAGACGAGTTTTATCAAGGCTGGAGCTAAACTCTTCAAGAAAGGGGACCTCAAGAGTTGAAAACCATTGTGCTTCACCATATTGCTAACAATTAACTTTCTTTAAGACAAGAGTCTTCAGCTGGGGGTCTGCCAATTAATGTTTGATCACAAATAATTATTTTGTTAAATAAAATGAAACATGGGTGAGAAAACATCACAAAGTCAAATTAAAATATAAGCACCCTGAAACAAAAGCCTCAGTTATCATTTACCATTTATATAAGGTATTGAATGAAAAGCATTCATGTTATTCCATGAAAATGTGAGAAACATCTGTGTATTTGGCAAATATTGCATCTAATCAACTTAATCTATGATAACGTATGTACGTGTTGCTGATAAAAAGTAGTTCAGAAGAAGCACTCAATAGGGCCTTTCGCACCGCTTTAGTTCCAGAACTAAATGTACAGTACTAAAGTACTGGGACGATTTTGCGCGAACTATTTCCCAGTACCATTTAAAGGGCTGCATTCGCACCGACAGTGTGTACTAAGAAGTGACGTAAGCCATCATTGTGGTATTGAAGGTGGGAGAGAGCGCTGTACATTCACTCCCCCCACCTACAATCCCTACCGGTACGAGACTCGAACCCGCACCCTTTGGGTTACGAGTCCGACTCTCTAACCATTAGGCCACGACTTCCCCAGTTCGCTTCCCCAAATCGCACCCAGTTCCTGCGGTGCGAAAACGCCAAAAAGTGTGTAGTTCCACAATTAGTTCTGGTACTATGAAAAGGTTCTCGCGGTGCGAAAGGCCCTAATATCATTCATTTCTGTAGAGCTGGACATTTTAATAAGGATCAAATGAGTGAGTTAAGCTTTGAGAATGAAAACCAACCTGTTTGTTCCTCAGTATCTTCATGCTTGACTCTGAACGCATCTTCAATCCTCATGTCGTCTCTCTCCTCTTTAATAAACACCATCTTTGTTTGTTCCTCAGTATCTTCATGTTTGACTCTGAATGCTTCTTCAATCTTCATGTCTTCACTCTCCTCTTTAATAAACGCCATCTTTGGTGTGTTACGTGGATCTCAGCTGCTTCACCAGTTTTTCTGTTTGGACACTGTCATGTTTAAGATGAGAATAATTATCAGAGAGAAAAATAAATACAAAATTCTACATCTGTGCATCTCAGTCAGCTCCCTAGTTCAGTAGTCAGCACACTGGGAAGGGAGTCAGTAAGAGTTCATGGCCTGATTATAAACAACAACACTCAAAACTAGCACTACAAATGAATTAAATAACACAGTTTATATTGAAAATCCGTTAGTATTTGGCATTTAATGATTTGTAGATCACATTTAATCGATTAGACTCTAAAACATTTGTGACTAGCTTGTAAAAGTTCTCGTTGCAGTTACACTGTTTTGATCAGCATGTGACGTCAGCTTGCGGTGATTATCATTTTGCAAAACAATTAATCTTATCACAACCCTCCAGTGGATTCATGTTTATGATAAGCGGATTCACGATATAGGGAACGAAATGAGACGCACCGTTTCTGTTACTCATGTGTGGATGTGCTTTAGTCACAAAAAAAAGTGCATTAGCGTTAGATAAAGCATCACAACATTACATTCAATAATATTTCATTCATTTTACATCGCTTGTAAAAAAATAAATAAATAAATAGACTGAATTCTCTGTGTCGATTTAAACACTATCAACGCTTAAAACACAAACCTTTCTACAGTCGAATCACCAGAACGCGGAGCAGCCTTATGACGTCACACCGTCAGCCCAAAATAAAAGTCCGTTATAGTCAGTGTTGCCAAGTCCGCGGTTTTCCCGCGGAGTTGGGCTACTTTAACACTGTTGCCGAGGGTTGTGTTTCATGTCCGCGGGTTGAAGCGACTCCAATAACATGATATTTATCCCCTGGAATGCGAATTTTAGCGGGTGAACCCCGCCAAAAAACGTGTATTTTACCCCAGAACGCGATTTTTAACTGGGAACCCCTCGAAACGCCATTGGGCTAGTTTTGAGTAGCGATTGGGCAGGTTTTCTTGTGAAAACCTGGCAACCCTGGGTATAGCGCATCGATATTTACATACAGGAAACAAAGATTTAAAAAAAAAGAGTAATATTTTGTCTAAAAGGCAAAACAGTCATGTTTGAGTGCAGAAACCATTTATTCAAGGGGTTGCGAACAGTTATTCAATAACAAGCCAATTAAAACTGATACATTTTTTCAACAGAACCATAGCACACACAAAAAAACTACTACTAATAATAATAATACATTTATAAAAAAATAAATAAAATGAAATAGAAACATTGTTTTCTATCCGTAATATGTTCAAGTCTGAGCACACTCCAATACACCAAACTCCCTACCAGCAGGGGCGAATCTAGGATGTTTTTCAACTGGGGGGCACAAAAGGAGCCAATCTTATGTTGTGTATTGTAGATATCTGAATCATTTAAAGGGGTCCTATTATTCTTTTTCACTTTTTTAATTGTAGTCAGTGTGTAGTGTGTATGTTTGGGCATTAAAAAGATCTAGAAAGTTACAAATCTCAAAGTCCACTCCAAAGGGAGATATTTCGTTTTTTAAAAATCCCTTTTCAAGAACTACAACGAACGGCTCGTTTGGACTACAGCGTTGGTTTCTGGGCTTTGTGATATCACAAAGCGGCCCGTTAGAATATCATTAAAAAGAATTCCCGCCTACAGAAATTCGAATGGTTGGGGGGTGGGGAGGGGCGGCGACCGCCTGAAACGCTGTTTTTTTCACCTCCGTGCCCATACGTCTTTGTTTGGGCTTCAGAAAGCGGATGATGTCAGGAAACAGTGGTTGAAATGTATTTTTTTAACTCTGTTCCTGAGCATTATAACCCCAATTTGCTATTGTGTGCTGCACATTTTACTGAGGACAGCTTCCACAACATGAGGGAGTACTGTGCCGGATTCGCCAAAAAGTTTTTGTTGAAAGACGGAGCAAGGGACTGCAAGGGGCGTGGCAGTACTGAACACCGTCTAAGCTGTTCGCCGGGTGTTAGAAGGTATTCACTATTAATTGCAATTATTTTATGTATGGTTAATATTTACATGGTTTTCCATATTAAGGGGCGATTCTAGGATTTTTTCAACTGGGGGGCACAAGAGGGGCCACAACTAATACAGAGGGGCCAATCTTATATTGTGTATTTATATGTAGAACTGTAGATATCTGAATCATTTAAAGTTCAGTAAGCTTTAAAATCAGCAATAAACAGAGATACCTTATTATCATTTAATGGCATTTATTCCCTTCTGTAAATCAGAGCAGTCAAATACAATTTGTATTAAATTGACTATAATAACTATAATAAAATAATCCAATCTATGAATAGAGTGCAACTCACAAAAATAATAAAACTCAACATTAAGTTATATAAACTTTACACAAATCCTCACAACCTTACACATGGGCAAAACAAAAAGTAATAGAAAATAATAGAACAGCTTTATTTATACAAATGCAGAGTTATATGAATCATTCGTATACTAAATACACAGTGAAAGAATTAACACAACTTTATAAATTAAATACAATAATAATAATTTTTTGTTTTGTTTCATCCACATCCTATTCAATTTGCATACCAGCAGTTGCAGAAAATTTGAATTGAAGAATTTGGACAAACTCTAAGTATGGCAAGGCTAATTAAGCCTTGTGCATATTGATTGCAAAATATCATATATCCATACCTTATGTTAGATATGATCTATTTTATCTATGTAGGGTACAACGGGGTTAAAGGCACCTTTGATATTATTTTCCTCTAAACCACTAGATGGCACAAAAACGTAGCGTAGCACTTTCCAGAACATTCGCTTTTCAAGATGCACGTGTATATTTGTCTGATCCTTGACGCGATCGCGCGCAGCAGCGCAAAGTTGATTCTGTGCTTACTTGATCTAATATTTGATGTTTTTTTAAAAAATTTGTAGATTTAATTAGCAAATTAGAATTGCTAAAATTAATGCATATATTTTGAGACAAAGGTCTTCTTAACAAGTTTCAGTTTTGTTTAAGATAATTAAAGCAACAGCTTTATATTAACATTTTAATGACAGTATATTTATTGAACAAAAAATTAATTATTTTATAATTTTTAAACAAAATAATTTTTAAACAAAATAAACAACTTGAATGATTTATTTTCACATAATTTGTTTAAGATAATTAAAGCAACAGCTTTATATTAACATTTTAATGACAGTATATTTATTGAACAAAAAATTAATTATTTTATTTTTCAAAATAAGCAGAAAATAGTACAAACTTTGCTAAAGTGATTGTTTTGAACAAGTATTAACTTAGACATTATTTTAGCTGAAGTATTTGTGTCAATACCGTGTGCCTTTTACCCCATGCTAATTAAGGCTAATTAAGCCTTGTGCATATTGATTGTAAAATATCATATTTTAAACAAAATAATTTTTAAACAAAATAAACAACTTGAATGATTTATTTTCACATAAAATCTGTTGCTCCATTAATGTTCAATACAAACGTATATATTTTTTTCTGCAATTATACATTTTAGACGCAGTGAATAGAAATTTTTTTCTTAAGGTGTGCCTTTAGCCCCGTTGTACCCTATATTTTTATAAACAGCATAGAATAGCTTAATTAGTCCAGAGTTATTTTAGTATTATTTATTTATACTACAGTGCATGCGTAATTATTATTTAAGTTGATATTCTGATCATATTTTTTCCAAGCACCTTTTACCAATTCTAAATCACATCAATCTCAATAACTACTATTCATTTTGTATTTAATCATTTATAAGTGCTGTATATAAACTTTGCTTGGATAAAAAAAATACAAAAAAATGAACCCCACTAAATAAGAATAACATGCTGAAGTGTTGTATATATATATATTTTTTTCTTTATAGGCTTTATAGACAGATAAGTTGAGAGTGACTCTTGAAGGACCAGCACCACATCCTTTTGTACCACCGTTTGAAGAAATATGATTTTTTTTTTACCCAAGCAAAGTCTCTGGGAACCTGACACCTTGCACTTCTGGAGACTCCAGGTAGGCTGAAGTTCTGAGAAATGGTGGCGCTGGAGATTAAAGGGTTCCTGATGGTTTCACACTTAATTCTTCACCTTAATTCTTAATTCTTTTGCAGTTAACATTTGACTTTTTTTCCCCCCTGACCCTACTGACCAAATGAGCATTTAGCTGTCCAATGGTCATGCCTTAACTTTGCAAATTCTAGTATTGCATTAGTATTGCATCCTTCATTTAATTTATTATTTAAAAATAAATAATTTTTGACTTTTCGGTCTGAGGATAGTCTCTTTTTTTGGGCTCATTTTATCTGTAAAAGAAAACCTGCTTAATTATGCACACCTGAAAATAAGGAGTTTTCCACTTCCAGCCTTCATGGACAATTATATATCACTTATAAATGATTAAATACAAAATTAATAGTAGTTATTAAGATTGACGTGGTTTGGAATTGGTAAAATGTGCTTGGAAAAAATATGATCAGAATATCAACTTAATTATGCACTCCCTCATATATTTTAGTATTATTTACTTATCTTGCTATTTAATCATGTATTTATGACTATGATTTTTTTTTTTGTGAATGTTTCTGGATGTGTCAAAGGACATTTTGTCACCGACGTCTGTGAATTCTATCTTCAGAGAAACCACATACAGTACACACTAAATTTAATTTGAGACATTTCGTTCACTTTGTTTGACAGAATTCAAGAAATTAGCCAGATTGTGCCACACAGCATTGCAAAACTACAAGATATTTGAAGAAAAACACCATCTATTTTATGTTTCAGACAGCAAGAAAACTCAAAATCAAGTTATATAAACTATATACAACTCCTTTTAGCCGCACAACTGTAAATACTGACAAAAGAAAAAAGAAAACACAACAAGAACACTCTGGCCTTTTGAAGACCAAATACAGTGGATTTAGTTTACAGTGGACTTCATGGACAATTATATACAGTATCACTTCTAAATTATTAAATACAAAAATAATAGTAGTTATTAAGATTGACGTGGTTTGGAATTGGTAAAATGTGCTTGGAAAAAATATGATCAGAATATCAACTTAATTATGCACTCCCTCATATATTTTAGTATTATTTACTTATCTATTCTTATCTATCATGATTGCTATTTAATCATGTATTTATGACTATGATTTTTTTTTTTTTGTGAATGTTTCTGGATGTGTCAAAGGACATTTTGTCACCGACGTCTGTGAATTCTATCTTCAGAGAAACCACATACAGTACACACTAAATTTAATTTGAGACATTTCGTTCACTTTGTTTGACAGAATTCAAGAAATTAGCCAGATTGTGCCACACAGCATTGCAAAACTACAAGATATTTGAAGAAAAACACCATCTATTTTATGTTTCAGACAGCAAGAAAACTCAAAATCAAGTTATATAAACTATATACAACTCCTTTTAGCCGCACAACTGTAAATACTGACAAAAGAAAAAAGAAAACACAACAAGAACACTCTGGCCTTTTGAAGACCAAATACAGTGGATTTAGTTTACAGTGGATTAAGTAGAATGTGGCTTATAACAGGTATATGTTCTGTAGTACCTGGTTCATTTTAAAAAAGTACAATTCTGTGATTTTTATGGTTGCTGCTAAAATGTCTTACAAACTCGTCCATATTTAATGATTGAGCCCGTCTTGATTCAATGCTCAAAACTCCTAGATGGCTCAGTTTCTCATCGCCCATTGTTGTTCTGAGATGGTTTTT